AATATGCAGATATGTAATTGGGTGGCAGATCTTATGTCGTTTTTCTTTTAATTTCAAAAATACTACAAATACCAAATGTACAATACAGTAGTGAAATTTTCTGGGAATTTGAAATCTGCCCTAAAAATTAACACTTTTAAGTTGTATGTAAAATTTTAACTAATAGAATTCCCCCAATTATTTTATAACTGTTCGGTATGACAAGGCTTAATGCGCTCATGCTTAGTGAATTATAAATGTGCTTATTGCTGTGTGGTAGTGGCACTTCAGCTAGTAAAGAAGAACTATCATGTCAATATGTTAAGAGTGAACTATTTTGTCATTTGCATGTTTTGGAGGATTTGGATTTGATTTGCCTTTTATCAAATATTCATTGTTAAAATCCCATAAAAATGCCACCCTAGCATTCAGACAATCTAGAAGATAATCCACCACCAGAGGGCTGAAAAGAAATTTTAAGTAACATCATGATATATAGTTCCATTGATTTATTGAGTAATGCTTAGAAAATATAAAGCAGCATTTAAAAAATATGCTGGAGTGGGTTTATTTATACTTAACATAAATATATCCTCATGGTTTTATTTAGTCCCTTGGGGAAAACCGGTATGTAATCATGTCATTAACAATTTTTTTTTTAAACTTAAAAAAATTTTTTTTTTAAGATTTATTTATTTATACAAGAACTGGGGTACAGGCCAGCGGCGCGGGAGGGTGAAAGAATCCACCAGAGACAGAGCAGGGAGCAGAACAGGCAGAATGACTGAAATACACTGCTGAGGGGAACAGCGGGCAAGGCAGGAGAGGTCTGCCGCGCCATGTGGGACTCTCCCTGGCCAGCCAGGAATTGAACAGGCGCCGCGGAGGCTGCGGACAGCGTCATAGCACTGCGCTCAACCCTCTGCACCACCGGGGAGGCCCTCATTAACAATTTAAAAAAAAAAGATTTATTTATGCATTCAAGAGCTGGGGTACAGGCCAGAGATTCGGGGGGTGAGAGGATTCACCAGAGACAGAGTGGGGAACAGAACAGGCAGATTGACCTAAGTACACTGCTGAGGGGAGCAGTAGCCGAGTCGGGAGAGGTCTACTGTGCCATGTGGGTTGCTCCCCAGGCAGCCGGGGATCGAACTCGTGCCGCAGGGGCTGTGGATTGCTTCATGGTGCGGTTCTTAACCCCTTGCACCACCAGGGAGGCCCCTCATTTAACAATATTTTTAAACCTCTTAAGCATAATATCTCTGGTGCAGACTGTTCTGGATTGCTATTTACATCGATTGCTTTGTATTGCTTGAATTTTTTCTTTGTTTCTTATATTTCAAGTCAGATTTTAGAATATGTGCATCATTTGAAAAAAATGAGATCATACCTTACATATTTGTGTGCAACTTGCATTTAAATTTTTTTGATATGCTGTGAATTCTTCCATGTTTCTATTTTGTCTCAACAAATGGCCTTAATGGCCAAATAGTTTTCCCAGTTCTCATATCCTATCTTTTGGCTATTTCCGTAGTTTCTATTTTTGTTCCTGATGGGGATGTCTTCCATCAGACATAGATCATTTTGACTAAGCTGTGCACTGAAGGAAACTGAACAAACAATGAACAAAATCTTCCTAAATGCATTAAGTAATTAATAAGACAGTGGTTACTATGATTTGATATGGAGAGAACAGGAATTGCCAAGATGTAGGTTAACATATGAGGCTGCTGAATCCTGGACACACAGGCGGAGACTTCCTTTTAAGAATGGATGAGGTTGGGCTTTCCTGGTGGCGTAGGTAGGGGTTAAATCTTAGCACTGTCACCCTTTAAGGCCTGAGTTCTATCCCCGGCCAGGGAGCTACCCACATGGTGCAGACCTCTCCTGGCTCGCTCGCTGCTCCCCTCAGCAGTGTATTTCAGTAGATTTGCCTGTTCTGTTCCCCACTCTGTCTCTGGTAAATCCTCTCACCCCCCACAACGCTGGTCTGTACCCCAGCTCTTGTATGCATAAATAAATAAATCTTAAAAAAAAAAAAAAAAACTTAAAATATGCATTAAGTACTAATAAAGCATCAAGCCTAGGCCAATCCTTGAAACCTGAAGAACCACTTTGCAACTCTCCCAAGACACATTTTTCATTTTCACATTTCTGAAAAATACTTATACTTAAAAATTAGAGTGCTTTTTCACCTATTTGGTATTTTTCCTACATGGATAGCAGTTTACAATCTGATGAAGTGAAGTGTGATATCCATTTTTCCTCCTGCATTTTCATGCACAAGTCCCTTTTTTCAAATTTACAGTTTTCCCTAAGTTTCCTTTCCACAATAGCAAAAAGGTTCTCAAAGACTCTGATCATATTTTAACTGTATCAAGGAAGGTAATATTTAAAAGAGAATAGTAAAAACCAAACATAATTTAAAACACTGAGGGCCTCACGGGTGGCACAAGGGTTTAAGACGCAACCTATGAAGCTGTCCGCAGCCACTGCAGCATTTCGATCCCTGGCCAGGGAGCTGCCCACATGGCACAGCAGACCTCTCCTGACTTGCCCGCTGCTCCCCTCAGCAGTGTATTTCAGTCGTTCTGCCTGTTCTGCTCCTCACTCTTGTCTCTGTAAATCCTCTCACCCCCCGCATCTCTGGCCTGTACCCCAGTTCTTGTATGTATAAAAAAATCTTTAAAACACTATAATTTAAGGTCTGTATTAAGGGGAATTTGGAAGAACAGGCTATTTTATACCACATTGAGACTATGACTTCAGATTTACCGGCTGGCCTCACTGCATGTGGGTTCTTGTTATTTTGGGTCAAAATCTCAGATTATAGACATCAGCCAATTAGAAAACACGCGACAAAAGGAAAGTCAAAAGCAACAGATGCTCAGGCTTATTCTTATGAGGTTATGAGAGTGGGAGGTATTTATCATTCTAGAGTGCTAAAACAGTCACATGAGTTGTGATGTCTTACGGTATCCAGACTGGTGATGGTTATTATCCAGTGCACAGGGCAGGTGCTCAGTCACCACCCCCTAATTCTGCCATACAACTGTTCAGGATTGGAGTCAGGGATTCTAGGAAAGTTTTTTGAAGGAAAGCCAATACCTTAATCTGTTACCTTCTTTCATTTCTTAGTAGAGATTAGCTATGTTCCCCTGAATTAATGTACACCTCCCTGTTACCTCTGTCCAGTTAACTGTTTCAGGTTACCTTTGGTCTGAATCTATCAAGTAGAATCCCACCTTCTTAAGCCAATAAAGAAAGCATTCATATTGGGCCTCCCTGGTGGCACAAGGGGTTAAGATGCAACCTACGAAGCTATCCACAGCCACTGCAGCATGAGTTCAATCCCTAGCCAGGGAGATACCCACATGGCACAGCAGACCTCTCCTGACTTGCCCGCAGCTCCCCTCAGCAGTGTATTTCAGTAGATCTGCCCGTTCTGCTCCCCACTCTGTCTCTGGTGAATCCTCTCACTCCCCCCACACCTCTGGCCTATTCCCTAGCCCTTATAAGCATAAATAAATCTTAAAAAAAAAAAAAAATCACCATTAAAAAAAGCGCATTCCTATTATCCCCACTATCCCACTATCATATATGGATACTAGTCTTTGGGGGAAAATTGATACAGAGGGCCCTCCCCGGTGGCGCAGTGGTTGAGCACTGGGTTGCGAAGCTGCCCGCAGCCTCTGCAGCGCCGGTTCGATCCCTGGCTGCTCCCCGGCCACCGGAGGAGGGTCCCACATGGCGTGCAGACCTCTCCTGCCGCCCGCTGCTCCCCTCAGCAGTGTACCTCGGTCCTTCTGCCTGTTCTGCTCCCCGCTCTGGCTCTGGTGAATTCTCTCACCCTCCTGGTGCTTCTGACTGTACCCAGTGCTTGTATAAATAAATAAATCTTAAAAAAAAAAAAAAATTGATACAGAACATCGGGCAGCCTCCTGAGCAATGCTTGAGGAATCATTAATCACTGTGTGAAAATCTGGGCTGCAATCATGAGCTCATTTTATAGTAACTTGTGATTTAGTTATGTATTTGCAATCAATTTTCTACTCTCAACTATTATACAAGCTTCTTGTATGAACTCCTAGGATATGGCTGCCTAACTCTAAAGGTATCCTAGTTCCACACCCAACCTCACCCACACCTCAAGGTAATTACACATGACAGTGCATATTAAGCCTGGTTATCCCAAACGTCCTCGAAGTATGGCTTAAAAATTGCTCATATAGGGCCTCCCCGGTGGCGCAGCGGTTGAGCACTGGGTTGCGAAGCTGCCCTCAGCCTCTGCAGCGCTGGTTCGATCCCCGGCCACCAGCGAGGGTCCCACATGGCGCGCAGACCTCTCCTGCCACCCGCTGCTCCCTGCTCTGGCTCTGGTGAATTCTCTCACCCTCCCACGCTTCTGACTGTACCCAGTGCTTGTATAAATAAGTAAATCTTTAAAAAAAAAAAATTGCTCATATAGGGGCCTCCCTGGTGGCGCAGCGGGTTGAGCAATGCACTGTGAGGCTATCCGCAGCCTCTGCAGCACGGGTTTGATTCCCTGCCGGCCAGGGAGAAACCCACATGGCGCAGCAGACCTCTCCTGACTCACCCGTTGCTCCCCTCAGCAGTGTCTATTCTGTTCCCCACTCTGTCTCTGGTGAGTCCTCTCACCCCTCCCGCGCCTCTTACCTATAACCCAGTTCTTGTATAAATAAATAAATCTTAAAAAACAAACAAACAAAAAACCGCTCATATAGCCATCTGTAAGTTCTCTGAATCAAATATAATTATAATAATGTTAGAGTCAGATGTCTGTCGTGAGGTCTAAAGAGGCTGGGAATGTTACAAAAGCAAATCATTTTGGGAGGTATATAAAATATTTTTTTTTTTTTAAAGCATGTTTTATTTATTTATTTGTTTTATTTTTTTGTTTGTGTTTGTTTATACAAGCACTGGGTACAGTCAGAAGCGTGGGAGGGTGAGAGAATTCTCCAGAGCCAGAGCGGGGAGCAGAGCAGGCAGAAGGACCGAAGTACACTGCTGAGGGGAGCAGCGGGCGGCAGGAGAGGTCTGCGTGCCATGTGGGACCCTCCTCTGGTGGCCGGGGAGCAGCCGGGGATCGAACCGACGCCGCAGAGACCGCGGGCAGCTTCGCAACCCAGCGCTCAACCGCTGCGCCACCTGGGAGGCCCGGGAGGTATATAAAATATTAAAACAAGAGACAAGTCTGAAGAGAAAAATATCAGGAACTTTCCTCTCCTAACTCTTGTTTTTCTTAGTAGTTGAGAAGAAGTAAATATATTCTCACTTCACTGTCACGTTTCAACAGTGTACATATATACCATACTTGTCTTGATGTGGAGGGTTTTCTGAGGTGGTGAGATCCAGGGAACCCCAGACTAGCCGCATTCAGGAAAGAGAACTGATGTTCCCAAACAGTCATTTGCCTTGGGGGGGAGGTGGAAAGGGGCACAAGATCCTGTAGAAAAGTTTATGGGGTGCACTACGAGAGCAGCTCTTCTCTACCTTCTGATTGTGTGGCCACAGACTGTTGAGTATTTTGGCAACAAGCATAGCAGATTTTCATGTCCATTATATTGCGAATATCTAAAACGAACACACCATACAGTCATAGTTTAGAGGCCTGTCGAGGGCTGGAAGAAGTATGAAAAACACAAGGCACATGATTTTAAGAGAAACCAGAGTTTCAATTTCTCAGAGAATGTGAACAAAGGGAAACATGTTCTGCCTGGATAAATATAAAGTCCTTGCAGTTAAAAATGCTGGGTGGGATATGTATTTCTCATAACACTGGCTAAACTGCTAAGCACAGACATTTTTATTCTACCCATCTGAGGAACAGAACTGTCAATTCATTGTGTAGTATAACAAAGTGCTTGGTACTTAAATACTTTAAATGAATGATTTTTCAGTGAGGGAACGCATCAGACTAACTCTTACTATCTCTTTCCTTTACAGAAGATAAACGTAAAAGTGATGTTAAAAATACTTAATGGTCTTTGGAATAAAAGCACCGTGACTGAAGGTCTCACTTCACGGGGTCTTTCCTGTGCACCCGCTGGTGGATGTGGAGGTTGGAGCTCTGGCTGAAGCCCTTCCCACACTTGCTGCACTCATAGGGCTTCTCTCCAGTGTGCACCCTCTGGTGGATGAGGAGTTTGGAGCTCTGGCTAAATCCCTTCCCACACTTGCCACAGTGATAAGGCTTCTCTCCAGTGTGGACTCTGAGATGGATGCGGAGGTCTGAGCTCTGGCTGAATCCTTTCCCGCACTCATAGCACTGGTAGGGCTTCTCCCCTGTGTGGATGCACCGGTGAATGTGGAGGTTCGAACTCTGACTGAAGCCCTTCCCACACTCTCCGCATTTGTAGGGCCTCTCCCCAGTGTGGACCCGCTGGTGGATGTGCAGGTTGGAGCGCTGACTGAAGCTCATTCCACACTCCCCACACTCATAGGGCTTCTCACCAGTGTGTACCCGCTGGTGGATATGCAGTTTGGAGCTCTGACTAAAGCCCTTCCCACACTTGTCACACTTATAAGGTTTCTCACCTGTGTGGACCGCGTGATGAATAAGCAGACTCGAACTCCTCGTGAAGCCCTTCTCACACTTGTCACACTTGTATGGCTTCTCATCCGTATGGACGGTTCGATGGATGAGGAGACTCGAGCTCCTGGTGAAACCCTTCCCACACTGCTCGCATTTGTAGGGCTTCTCCTCCTTGTGGTCTTGCTGATGACGCTGTAGTGCTGAGTGCTCACTGAAGGCCTTACCACACTGAACACACAGGCAAACGTCCTCACAGGGCTGACCATCTAAGCTGGTGGTATGCGTTTTCCCACAGTCATAAAGACCACATGCTTTCTCCTGGGTAGGAGTTCTCTGAGGACTCAGAGATTTCCAATCACAGATGTCATTGCCTGTACCGTCTGGGGGACCCAAGGATTCTCTCAACTGGCCATTTTGGCAAACTGCCTCACCACTGAACAAGGGTGAGACTGGTTCTGTTACAACAGACACAAGTTGAGTTTGAAGATTTTCTGAACAATGGTCCACGGAAGGACTTCCCCCCTCTATTATATTCTTGTCAGTACACTCTTTAGTTACAAGGAGACTTTGGCTTTCTTGAGGATCCTGGGGCTCATTCTTACAGAATGTCCCAGAAGAGTCTTGGGTAGCCATTTGGCTTGTGGTTTTCACAGACAAATATTCCTCACTTTCCATGTTTTTAAAACCATCACTTTGAAGAGTCATCACACTGCTCTTTTTTCTGGAAATAGGAAAGATGCTTCTCCCCACTTTGGACAAGGAGAAAGATCTAGCTCAGGATTCCCATACACTTCCCCATGAAGATTCATAATGTAATCCTGACTCCCAGTTACTGTACTAGCCATCTTTTCCAACATAAGCCAGCAGGAAAGCTCTTCATGTAACCGAATCTCAGTCCGTTCTCTTGAAGAGTTTCCATAGAAACTAAGGAACAAAGAAAATTCAGTGAGAATAACAAAGTGTAGCTGCCAAGCTTTCAGAACTGGAGTAACTCATCAAAGCCTGAAGATTTAGAAACTAGCAAAAAGTTGTTTTGTTCTTATTATCGTCATGTCCTTTGGGTTAATGTCAGAAAGAATGTGGTGAAGAAGACCAAATTTCTATCCCTTAAGCATTGCCGATTAGGGTATTCCTCCCCTAACCCTGCAGAAGCCTATAAATCCCACATCCTTGCCACATTTTACTTTATTTTATTTTTAATTAATTAATTAATTTATTTATTATTTGTTTGTTTTGTTTATATAAGCACTGGGTACAGTCAGAAGCACGGAAGGGTGAGAGAATTCACCAGAGCCAGAGCAGGGAGCAGAGCAGGCAGAAGGACCGAAGTACACTGCTGAGGGGAGCAGCGGGCGGCAGGAGAGGTCTGCGCGCCATGTGGGACCCTCCTCCGGTGGCCGGGGAGCAGCCGGGGATTAAACCGGCGCCGCAGAGGCCGCGGGCAGCTTCACAACCCAGTGCTCAACCGCTGCACCACCGGGGAGGCCCTTACTTTGTTTTATTTTAATTAAATCTGCACTTAATTGGCAATTCACCTAACTAGGTATTGGGGGTACAAAGAAGAAAACAGAAGTCCTTCTTAACATATTAGAACCTAGTGGGCAGAAAGACAAATATGTCATTAGTGCTAACACCATGGAAGTGCTACAACAGGTGTGTCCACAGCCCGTCACAGGAGCTGAGTGCGGACATTCAACCCAAACCTCAGGTTGGAGGGAAAATATCTGGGAGTACATCTGAGGAAAAAATAAAAGTCAAACGTAGTGAGAAAATGATTATGTTCAAGAAAACAGGTAATAGTGGAAAAGAGTATGTCCTGGAGAGAAAGGCAGGAGTCATAACAAAGCGTTGGCATGTACTACTAAAGATTTAGGGTTAATATCATAGGGATTTAAGGCTATTAAATTATTCCAATTGGGCATAAAGCAACTGACCTCATAGTTTGAAACACTATGAGAAATAAAGAGGATTTTAGGTAGAGAGACAACTGCTGCAGCAAATCAAAAGAAAAGTGGTAAGGATGACAGGGAGAGGAAGGGAGAGATTGATTCTAAGTTACATGGAAGGGGAAGGTGGCACCAAGCAGGATCCCCAAGTCTTTGCTTAAGTGACTAGATGTGGGGATGCTATATGAAGAGAGAGGAAATGCAACAGGAAAAGGCTGGAGCAGGGGAGGAGTACATATAAAAAGCTCAGTCTGACTTGTTTAATGTTGGGTGCTGGATCAGCCTTCAGTAAGCAGTGAGACATGTGGTTCTGGAAGTCCTGGGAGAGAACTGTACGAGGAATATAGATTTTAGACTCACAAGTATGCACGCTGGTCAAAACAATTAGAGTGGCTATCCTAATATTACAATGAAATAACAATAAAGAAATCCCTAATAGTCTTGGGAAAAAATATATAGGCCCCCTTCATGAGAATACAAATGAGGATCTCCTAGATGATAAAGAACAGATGGATGAGAAGAAAATAGAAAACAAAAATGCACAGCTCAAGTCATGCACAGAGAAGACTTCTGAAGGAGTTAGGAGATCTTCTCAAGAAGTCCTAGATTCAAATTTCAAACTTAGAATCAACAATTTTAAGGTAAGAGGTTTATCATGGAAACAGGTCTAATAATTCATGTTAAGCATTTCTAGTGGCATTTCTAATTATTATCACCACTTACCCAACTCTCACTTTTCCCTGAATGAAATACTGGGTGATTAATAGCAGCAACCCCATACAAAACCTTAAGAATATGATCTGCCAAAGACCTCTCATTATAGTATTTGGGTTGAAAAGAGAAGCAGAAGTTGGGGTAATGCTGAAACTGCACAATGGCAGGAAAATGAAATATTTAAGCCCACATGTGCCAAGATAAAACCTCAAGATCACCCCTGAAGTGGGGTTCTGACAAGACCGATAGCCCAGAGACTGAGTCACAGGGCAAAACCCAGATAACTTATTTTTTTTTTTAAATGATTTATTTATTTTTGCATACAAGAACTGGAGTGTAGGCCAGAGATGCGGGGGTGGGTGGATGAGAGGATTCACCAGAGACAGAGTGGGGAGCAGGGGAGGATCTTGTGGAATACACTGCTGAGGGGAACAGTGGGTGACACAGGTGGGGTCTGCCGTGCCATGTGGGTCAGCTCCCTAGAGGGATACCAAACTCATGCTGCAGTGGTTGGCGATAGCTTGATAGTGCTGAGACTTTAACTCCTGTGCCACCAGGGAGGCCCAAACCTAGATAACTTATTGACCTGAAAAGGTGCCTTAAGAAAATATGTCTGCTTAATCATCAAAACTGCATGGTATTGGAACAAGAACAGACACACAGACCAATGGAATCGAATAGAAAATCCAGAAATAAACCCACAGATTTATGGTCAACTAATCTTTGACAAAGGAGCAAAGAAAGTTTCTTCAATAAAGGGTGCTGGGAAAATTGGGTCGCTACATGCAAAAGAATGAAGCTTGACCACTACCTCATACCATACACAAAAACCAACTCAAAATGGATTAAAGAACTAGACATAAGACCTGAAACCATAAAATACATAGAAGGAAATATAGGTGAAACACTACATGATATGCACATCAAAGACATCTTTACAGACACATCACCCAAAGCAGTGATAGTGAAGGCAAAGATAAACAGCAGGGACTACATCAAATTAAAGAGCTTCTGCACAGCAAAAGAAACAATAACAAAAACAAAGAGAAACCCCACCAACTGGGTGAACATTTTTGCACACAACACTAATGATAAAGGACTGATCACAAAAATCTACAAAGAGCCGATGAGACTCAACACAAACAAAGAAAATAATCCAGTCAAAAAATGGGCAGAAGAGCTAAAAAGAAACTTCTCTGAAGAGGAAATGCAAATGGCCAACAGGCATATGAAAAAATGTTCAACATCACTTGTAATCAGGGAAATGCAAATCAAAACTACCATGAGATACCATCTTACGCCAGTGAGAATGGCACATATTAAAAAAACTAGCAACAACAAATGTTGGCGAGGTTGTGGAGAAAAAGGAACTCACTTGCACTGCTGGTGGGAGTGCAAATTGGTCCAACCACTATGGAGAGCTGTGTGGAGATTTCTGGACCTACTAAACATAGAGCTTCCATATGATCCAGCAATTCCACTCCTAGGTATTTACCCAAAGGACACAGAAACATCAATTCCAAAGAGCACCTGCACCCCTATGTTTATAGCAGCACTGTATACAATAGCTAAGCTTTGGAAACAACCCAAATGCCCCAAAATAGATGACTGGATCAAGAAGATGTGGTACATATACACCATGGAATATTACTCAGCATTCAAAAAAGATAAACACATGCCATTTGCAGCAACATGGATGGCGCTGGAAGGGATCATGCTCAGCGAAATAAGCCAGAAAGAAAAAGAAAAATACCGCATGATCTCACTCATAGCAGGAATCTAGAAAACTTAAATAAGGGACCAGTAAAAAGAATAACTATAAGAAAAAAAAAATCAAAATCAACAAACTACTATGAACCAGAGACACCCTGTGGGGAGTGGAGGGCGGGGAGGGGAGGGATTGGGGTCAAAATAAGGGGGTCGCAATTGTATGGGGAATATAAAAATAAAATATATATATATAAAAAAAAGCAAATATGTCTGCTACACCGCCCACCACTGGGATTCTCATTACATGCTTCCCAAGCCCAGTAGGCAGAAGTCTCCTACAAGTGTATCATACATGTTCCAAAGAGGGGCAAACATTAGCATAGGATATATTCTCAGGTATCACACTTTGGACATAAGACTTTTGGGGGTGGAGGGGGAGAAAAAGAGAGGTAGATCCGCCACCCCCCTCCCCCAAAAAAAGACCAAAAAAAAAAAAAAAAAAAAGTTGAAAAGTAACATCAACAAAGACAGGCACCAACTCAAGAAACAGTGAACACAAGAAACAATTTAAAACATACATAAGTAAAGCCTCAGAGAAATCTGAAAGGATATTACTTCTAATTTAGAAGGATTCTGATTGTGTTAAACTAGGACTTCAAGGGGAAAAAATTCCAGAAAATACTAAATGCATCTAGACAGAAAAGCCAGGTTATGTGCAAAAAAATCAGAATTATACTGACACTGAACTACTAATCAGCAATACTGGACATGTGAAGATAATAGAGCAAAATTCCTTTTAATTTTGGAGGAAATGTGATCGTGAAAACAGCATTCTAAACAGAAGGAATAAAAACTTTTCAGAAAAGAAAGGATTCAGGGACCTCCCTGGTGGTGCAGGGGTTAAAGACACAGAGCTATCAAGCTATGGGCAGTCACTGCAGCACAAGTTCAATCCCCAGTTTGGGACCTGATCCACATGGCGCAGCAGACCTCTCCTTTCTCACCCGCTGCTCCCCTCAGCAATGTATTTCAGTCAATCCACCTGTTCTGTTCCCCACTGTCTCTGGTGAATCCTCTCACCATCCGCACCCTCTGGCCTACATCCCAATTCTTGTATGCATAAATAAATAAAAATAAATCTTAAAAAAAAAAGAGAAAGAATTAGTGGGGATTCTACTGAAATTGCCTTAGAAATCATATTGGCTCCTCCTCTATAAATCAGACTGGACTGGTTTTGCTTTTTGCACAATCATCCAGTCCCTGTGTTTCCCAAATGTGCTCTTCGTTCTTAGCTGGAGCAAGCAAGAATGGACTCCAAAGGAAGCAGCTAGGCATTATGGAGGAAAGTCTGAAGGCCAGGCTAATCCATGAAAGAAGAGTCCTTTTTCAAATGTTCCAGGAGCTAGCTTGGTAGGTCTCTGGTCTGTGGAGAAAGCTGAGGCTCAATGGACTACAAACTGAGAATCAGGTTAGATGCTTCTAAGATGAGAAATGGCATGACAATGGACCAAGTGAAAGCAATCAGCATGAAAAGGGAAAGAAGTAAGGGAAAGAAAACTGGTCCTGGGCCACCCTGGTGACGCAAGGGGTTAAGTCTGTATGTAATCTATGAGGCTATTGCCAGCCACTGCAGCAGGAGTTCCATCCCTGGCCAGGTAGCTGCCCACATGGCGCAGCAGACCTCTCCTGATTTGCCCGCTGCTCCCCTCAGCAGTGTATTTCGGTCAGTCTGCCTGTTCTATTCCCCACTCTGCTCTGGTGAATCCTCTCACCTCTCACCCCCCCACACCTCTGGCCTGTACCCCAGTTCTTGTATGCATAAATAAATCTTTCAAAAAAAGAAAGAAAACTGGTCCTGGGAAAGCAAAACAGTTTGGAATGAAAGAATTGGAATAATGAAAAGGGCCCTGGTATCAGTGGAGCTAATAAGCCAGCCTGAGGTGGAATTCATGCTTACTCTGGGGAAATGGACTTTAGATCCCAAAGACCAACATAAGCAGAAGGTGGTAGGACCAGCAGTTTCTTGCCCCACTCCATAAATGTCAAACTTCTCAAAACTACATCCATCATGTGGCTTTCCAGAGCCCATCCTTGCCAGATGCAACGATTTACTTAGGGGCATCTGGCACAATTACCCAATCCCAAGAAACAATGGTGTACCAGCCATCTACAACTAGTACCTGCAGTTGTTCAAACACCGTGCTCTAGACCAAGCAGCCCTTTACACGTTGCCTCTGCCCTGACTCATTTCTCCTGTCTGTTCTGGAACTCTTTTTAGTTTCAGGACAATCAAAAACCTCCTTTCTAAAGCAAGAGAATGGGCTAGTGTCCTCCTCCAAGTTCTCATCTTGTCTTTTACGTACCCCTACTCTCGCTGTTACATCTGTCTCCCGAATTGGCTATAAGGTTCTAAAGGAGAGGGGCCAGGCTCAAGTGGATATTTTAAGAGCTCATGATCTCTTACGAAGTATGTATTCACTAAGAAAAAGATGGTCTTGCTGGGGGTCTTCTTAAGATCCAATTATTTTTTCCTTAAAAACCACCTGATAGTTTATTCAAATGTGCAGTGTTCAGATAAGGCGAATGAACAGACTGGAGTCACGAACTGTGGGTTTTCTTCTAGCTCTGCTGCTCTCTGTAACAAAGGCATGCTGCCCCCTCCAGCTCCCATGGAACGAAAGCGTTACTCTGCCAAAAATCAGCACAGGGCCTCCCCGGTGGCGCAGCGGTTGAGCGCTGGGTTGCGAAGCTGCCCGCGGCCTCTGCGGCGCCAGTTCGATCCCCGGCTGCTCCCCGGCCACCAGAGGAGGGTCCCACATGGTCCCACATGGATGTAGTTTTGAGAAGTTTGACATTTATGGAGTGGGGCAAGAAACTGCTGGTCCTACCACCTTCTGCTTATGTTGGTCTTTGGGATCTAAAGTCCATTTCCCCAGAGTAAGCATGAATTCCACCTCAGGCTGGTTTATTAGCTCCACTGATACCAGGGCCCTTTTCATTATTCCAATTCTTTCATTCCAAACTGTTTTGCTTTCCCAGGACCAGTTTTCTTTCTTTTTTTGAAAGATTTATTTATGCATACAAGAACTGGGGTACAGGCCAGAGGTGTGGGGGGTGAGAGGTGAGAGGATTCACCAGAGCAGAGTGGGGAATAGAACAGGCAGACTGACCGAAATACACTGCTGAGGGGAGCAGACCTCTCCTGCCGCCCGCTGCTCCCCTCAGCAGTGTACTTGGGTCCTTCTGCCTGCTCTGCTCCCCGCTCTGGCTCTGGTGAATTCTCTCACCCTCCCGCGCTTCTGACTGTACCCAGTGCATGTATAACCAAACAAGCAAAACAAACAAACAAACAAATAAATAAACATGCCTCTATTAAAAAAAAAAAAAAATCAGCACAAAGCCAGAGTGGCTGACTGGCCCTTCCATTTCAAACATTCTATGATTTTTTTTTGTTTTGCTTTTTAAAGACTTATTTATTTATGCATATAAGAGCTGGGGCACAGGCCAGAGGTCTGTGGAGTGAGAGGACTCACCAGAGACAGAGACAGAGTGGGGAACAGAAAAGGCAGACTGCTCTCACCCTCCCACGCTGCGGCTCTGACCTGTACCCCAGCTATTGTATAAATAAAAAATAAATCTTAAAAAAAAAAAAATCCCACCAGATTATTCTGAAATACAGACTGGTTGAGAAGCATTTCTTTTTTTTTGTTTTTTTTAAATAGAGGCATGTTTTATTTATTTATTTGTTTGTTTGTTTTGTTTATACATGCAGTGGGTACAGTCAGAAGCGCGGGAGGGTGAGAGAATTCACCAGAGCCAGAGCGGGGAGCAGAGCAGGCAGAAGGACCCAAGTACACTGCTGAGGGGAGCAGCGGGCGGCAGGAGAGGTCTGCGCGCCATGCGGGACCCTCCTCTGGTGGCCGGGGAGCAGCCGGGGATCGAACCGGCGCCGCAGAGGCCGCGAGCAGCCTCACAACCCAGCCCTCAACCGCTGTGCCACCGGGGAGGCCCGAGAAGCATTTCTGAGAGTGATCTGGCAACTACTGTGTTGCTATTTAACAAACTTCCTAGTGATTTTAACTTTTAAATGTAGTTTAATAAATGATTATTGTTAATGTGCACACCCTTCCTGTATACAAACTCTGCTCATGAAGAAAAGTACCATAGTTTACAATTCTGGGTTTTTCTGAGACAACTAAGAATGTAATATTTGAACGGCTTGAATGACTTTCATTGAGTGGAATGTCTGGCTGCAAAAAGTGAGCTTTAAGAGAGAGGACAGACAGGGCCTCCCCTGGTGGCGCAGCGATTGAGCGCTGGGCTGTGAATCTGCCCTCAGCCCCTGCAGCGCCGGTTCGAACCCCGGCCGCCGGGCGAGGGTCCTACATGGCGCGCAGACCTCTTCTGACGTCCGCCGCTCCCCTTAGCAGTGTGCTCCGGTCCTTCTGCCTGTTCTGTTACCTGCTCTGGCTCTGGTGAATTCTCTCATCCTCCCGCGCTTCTGACTGTACCCAGTGCTTAAATAAATAAATAAATCTTAAAAAAAAAAAAAAAAAGAGACAGAGAGAGAGGACAGGCAAAGATGCTCCAGGGTGTCTTTCAATAAAGGCACAGCCCGTGCTCCTGGGAGTGGGCCAAGTTCATCCAGGCTAGGTGGTTCAGGGAAAATTGATGGGGAATTTAAAGTCAGCAGGTATCTGTGCAGACCTGGTCTCACCAATTGAGAGCTATATGCCCTTAGTATTTCACGGCCATTTCATAAAATGTGTAGATCCCACACTTAAGTCTTACAATAGAGATAAACAACACAGAGAACAAAGACAGGACCTGCCATCCGACAGGCACTCAGTTAATGCTGATGTGCTTTCTTTGTGCCAAGCAGGTTATGTTCATTTTCAGAGATGGTGTATTTGGAGGGAAGAAACGTCAACTCACCTGGAACCTGGCTATTTCTTCCTCACAGGAAAGAGTCCTGGAAAAGTAGTTAGGGAAAGAGAAAAACGTCATGAAAACCAGGGCTACCTTACAGGATACAGACTAGTCAGTCCAGCAAGACTGCAGAACAGTTCCTGAGCTCCTCCACTAGCCCCTGTCACAATCCTGCGCACGGTCTCCCCATGCTTCACCTCCCTCCCCTCTCTACAGCGCTTTGCAGCAAACAGGCCCCTTCTTCCCCACCAGCCCACGAGGGTAAAGTAAATTCCGCCGCGCCCAGCAGCTCTAAGATTAAGTCTGTTTCCTCAGGCTTTCCGATTCTACCCTAAAGTGCACAGAGCAGTAGGTGCTCTCCGCTCGGATGTGTCACCTCTCGGGATGGATTTCGACTGCCCGCGACGCCTTCCGCGATCTGACTGGTCCCCGGCTCAAATGCAAAGGCTCAAATGCGACCTTTTCTCAGCGAGGCTGTGCGGCGGGGGCTCACAAGGAGCCCGCTGCGGTCGCCCGAAGTTCCCTGAAAACCTCTTTGGAATAAGGCTAGTCACTGGCGCGGAAAGGGCCGATGTGGCCAACGATGTGACGCCCCCAGGCCGCTAAGGCCGGAGCTCAGCCAAGGGAGAGGAGGCCCCTCGGAGCTGCGGGATTCCCGGGTCGGCGGGGGCCGCCCCCGGGTCCGGGGCGCGTGGCGGCGGCGCCGGGACGCACGTGTGGCCCCGGGTCGCATCTCCGCGGGTCACGCGCCCTCCCCGGGCAGTCCTACCAGCCTCACGGGTCGCGGCGGCCTGGCGCCTTCCCCGCGCCACTTCCACATCCCGATGGCGGGATGCCTCTCTGCCAACCGCGCGGGCAGCCAGACGCATCTCACCGCCCACGTGGAAACCCATACCTGGAAACGCACGATTCCAGATACAGAACCACAACCGCGCTGCGGGCCCGGAACTACAACCCCCAGAAAGCCGCGGGCGGCCCGCCACGCCCACTTCCGGCGCATAGTTCCGGCGTCGGTCCGTGGGCCGCCGGGGAGGGTCGGGGGGTGCTTGGTGATGCTCCGCAGGCCGAACATTGTAGACTAACGTGGCTTCTGATATCCCAACTTTTTTTGAAGTTGTCTCCCTGACTTCAGTAGTCCTAACTACTCTTGAGTGCTATTGAAGACAAATTGTCATCAAGAGCACTCGAGCATATAGCCTTTCCATTTTCAGATGTACAGTATTTGACTTTCATTTGCTTTTAGATGTTATCATCGTTATTTTTCTTCTCCCTTTGTATATAGAACTGACTCCTTTCATTTGGTCCACTGTCAAACCATTTCTCACCTTGGAATCTCAGCTTCCTACGAAGTTAGCCCATCAATATATCATTTCCATTCTTGGTATGGAATTCTCTCCAACATTTTATCTGTAGGATCTTAACAAAGTAATAACTGTCTAATTTATCGGTGGAAAGATGACAAAACTTGTATTTTTGAAATACAAAATGTGGTTACTGTGGTCTAGGTAGAAATGAGGGCCTCGTTTAAGCACAATGGTGATGCAATTAGAGGACCATTGGTGGGATAGTTAGAATTAATCTCAGAAGTAGTTTGAATAAAGCTGAATTAGGCAAGGAGTCTTAGGTAATCCAGAAAGGGGGAAAGGGTTTGATCTAGCATTCTACATATATAATATTCGTCTTAATGCAAAGATAACTACTGCAATAAAATTTGAAATTACACCATACGTTAAACTTTTATCCTGTCCAATTTTACTGCTATGATTTTTTTATTCATAGCACTTACTGATCGATTTTTATTGTGCTAACATTGATTTATGATGTTTCAAGCTTACATTATAATTCTATCATTTAATTTTTGATAAGCAGAATTTACTAGATTGATTGGTATTCACAAATCAGATGTAATGGGCCTCCCTGGTGGAGTAAGGGGTTAAACACAGCACTATGAAGCAATCCACAGCCTTTGCAGCACGAGTTCGATCCCCAGCTGGCCAGAGAGCAACCCACATGGCGAAGCAGACCTCTCCTGGCTCACCCCCTTGCTCCCCAGCAGTGTACCTCAGTCGATCTGCCTGTTCTGTTCCCCATTCTGTCTCTGATGAATCCTCTCACCCCCCTGTACCTCTGGCCTGTACACCCCAGCTCTTGTATGCATAAATAAATAAATCTTAAAAAAAAGTCAGATGTAACGTCTATAAGAAAAAAATGTTAAATTTCATAGAAACTTGGATTAGAAAGTGATAATTCTAATAAAATAAGTCAGGAGGGGAAAGACAATTGACAGATGGTATCACTTGTAGGTGAAATATAAAGAACCATATAAAGGTCAGATAAAACCAAATTTAAAAACTCCAAATCTGCCTGTTCCAAACAGATTCTGCCATCCGCAGCATCAACACAAAACATACAAGACTTTAATGGAAAGGAACTTTAATACAATTAGGAAACAATACAGAAAGATAAAGAATATAGTTTGTAAATCAAGCACCCATAGTTACCCATCCCCTTGTGGGTAAAAGTCCACCCAAATGGGACTGGCCCAGAGCAAGGCCCCAAAGCCTGCCACAGGTCTAAAGCCCCTCTCAGTGGGGATCCACAGAAAAGGATCAGAAACAACAGACAAGTCTGGGAGGAAAAGAGTAAAATCAAGATAAAAGCTACGATTGTCATCCTCCCCACGGTCTCTCACCCACATCTGTGTTACCCAGCCCACGACCAAAGGCAAGCACAGTTTCTTCACATGTCTCTTGGCTCCATATGCCCCCTCCAGGTCTCCTTCTGGCTCTCCATCCTGCTTCCTCTCTTCCTCAGTCCCTTCTGCAGCATCTTCTGCTTGCTCAGCTCCACCCTCCTTTGGGTGGGGCAGAGAACCTGGAACTTCCCCTTTTCCTGTAGCCCACCCTCTTACAGGTGGACAATGGAAATAACACCTGAAGTGGGGGAATCCTATACTCCTCAGATATTAAACAATGTAAACTAGTATTACCTCAATTAAAAAAATTAAAAAGAACTGTGGTATACTAAAAAAAAAGTGATCATTTTAAGTATTAAAACTTTTTTTTTTTTTTTTTTTTTTTTAAAGATTTATTTATTTATTTATTTATACAAGCACTGGGAAGAGTCAGAAGCGCGGGAGGGTGAGAGAATCCACCAGAGCCAGAGCAGGGAGCAGAGCAGGCAGAAGGACCGAAGTACACTGCTGAGGGGAGCAGCGGGCGGCAGGAGAGGTCTGCGTGCCATGTGGGACCCTCCTCTGGTGGCCGGGGAGCAGTCAGGGATCGAACTGGCGCTGCAGAGGCTGCGGGCAGCTTTGCAACCCAGGGCTCAACCGCTGCGCCACCGGGGAGGCCCTTAAGTATTAAAACTTTTATTTACAAAAGGCTTCACAATAAAATTCCCTTGACTAATAATCTCCCCTAGGGCATGTAACCTACTCAAGTCTTTTACCAGATTTTTATTGGTAGTGTTCTTGATGGCGGACAGGAATAGAAAAACTGAAAAGGAAGTGGGCATAAGCCCAGCAACCTGGCTCTTGTGGAAAGGCTCACAAAATGTCAAGAGCTGGAGGTGGGGATAGAAGAGATTAGCATAGTCATTGACCCAGCTACAGAAACCAAGATCCTTAGGCGCCAATGCCTAGATTATAAACCATAAGATCCAAGCAGGTATCACACTGCTGTAGGGAGTGTCTAGAGCGCAGGTCCAAGGGTAAAGCTATGGAGATTGAGCCCAACAGACCCCAAAGGTAAAGCTATGGAGATTGAGCCCAACAGACCCCAAAGGTAAAGCTATGGAGATTGAGCCCATTATGGAATCTCTGCTCCCTTTCAGATTCTAGATATTTATTCAAAATCAGCAAACCTGTCCCTTTCAGGGCAGCTCTTACTGCCCCCTTGTGTCTATGCAAGTGTCCTTTATTTTTCTGTTCCTTTCCCTAATAAACCTGCCCTTTAAATAAAACTGTCTTGAGGAGAAACTTGCCTGGAAACTTGACGCAAGTTGCTGAAATGGGAGCTCTGGTGAAACCTTTCCCAGAGTGAACCCAAGGACCCCGCACTCCAAACCCAGTGACTCCAAAAATAACAACATATATGAAATGTGGGGTTTTTTTGGATTTTCAAGATTTTATTTTCAAGATTTTTTCTGTATTTTCAGTAGATATGGGTCACTTAACAACATGGATATATTCTGAGAAATTTGTTAGACAATTTTGTTATTGTACAAATGTCATATTGTTAGGGGGAAATGATGTCCTGAGCTAATCCCATACAGGCTTTGTGGACCCCACCCCCACTCCAGACCAAAGCCATCAGGACATTGGGAAAGACAAATCCCGTCACCACCAAAGGGAAGATGGCTGGGACCTGAGGGTGGAGTTAAGCAGCCAGGTTGGGTATAAAAACCAGACACGTGGGCCTTGGGGGGCTCGCTCTCTCGCTCACCTCCTGGCTTCACAGCTCCTGGCTCGCGGCCAGCTCTCAGAGTGCCATTTGGGATTCCAGATCAGCTGATCCGGTAGGACGCATTTAAAACTTTATCTCCCATTTTTCTCCCTGAGCTGTACATTTCCTCATTTGCCCTTCCCTTGTAAATAAACTGAGACATAGGGCAAGTTAGGGTAATTAGGCAGTTTTAGGGACACTGCAGGAGGGGATCTCGGAGAATTGAGGAAGGCTTCAGAGATAAGGGCAGCAAGAGGAATGTAACTAATTGCACCTGGAAAACAAACATCCCAGGACCAAGGACAACATGCTGGCCTTGGTTTCCTTCAGGTGGTAAAGGGAGGCGGAGATTGGAGAAATAGAGAATGATTTAATTTATGGACAACTTAAAAGGGCAGCTGTTTAGCTTTAATGCAGAGATGCTCATCCAGGACTGGGCCATAAAGATAAAGAAGTAACAAATGGGGAAAGAGAAAGCTGTTAGATAAGGAATGTGAAGATCCCCTGCTCAGTAGCAAATTAAGTGAGACAGCCGAGAACTAACCAATCACAGAGAGACTGGTGGAGCTTTAGGATAATTAGGGAAAGAAGGTCTATATTCCCTGGGACAAGACTCCGCTTTGGCTTCCTTGCCCCTCCCAGGCCTGGCTTCCTGGCCTGGGAGTCCCACTTTATTTCTGTTCCTTTTCTCCTCAATAAACTTTCTTTCTCTAAACAAACCTGCCTCTTCTCGCTTGCTTGCCTGAGCGTCTGCGAAGTTCCTGCTGCGGCTTCGTGAGACACCAACCCGTGGGGGTCTAGTGGCTGGGACTTAGTGCTGCCCCTGCAGCCTGGCATCTGTTCCTGGCTGGGAGACTAGGCCTGACAATTCCGGTATCAAAACCTTTTATTAACCGTTTGTGTGTGCCTGCAGTAGAGTATTGATAAGTCCTTTTAAGCGCACAGGTGAGGACCCACAGTCAGGCACCCCATTTTGTATCGGGGCTGCCCTATAACAATATGGTCAAATATTAAACCTAGAAGGGCATATCCTATTGGGACAAACATTGTAAATGTCAATTTGTAACAGGGTGGTCCCCAGGAAAGGGGGAGGTTCCAGGTTCCCTGCCCCACCCAAGGGAGGGTGGAACTGAGCACGGAGAGAAGAAGCTGCAGAGACT